TGTTAGCACATTCCTGTCATCTGCATGAATTAGGACCTGGCCTGTTCGTGCCCAGAGGTAACTGGCCAATAGGACTTGGTTGTGTCCAGTCCTCCTTTGAGGAGGCGGATGGAGCCCAGGAGATAATGCCCATCACCCAGATCTCAGGGCTCTTTACCACTGAGACCCAGAGAGAGGTTTTAGTCTGTCAGAGCCCACTGATACACTTAACTGTGTCCAAGAAATGTCATTTTCTAAACACTGTTTGCTCGGCTGCTTCCTTTTCAGGGGAAACAGACGAAGAACGACCTGCTTTGGTGTTTCTGGGCTCGTCCGACGCGTCTTTGGAAATAAAGCTGTGATAAGTGCAGGAAAAATGGTGGAATCAGCTTTTAATTAGCATTTATAGAAGAATTTCCGCCCAGGTTGAGTGAGTAGGAGCCTTTAAAGAGCTGCTGCACTTGGCTGATTCACAGTGGAAACAAAGGAGGGGAATAAAAACCCAGTGTGTTCCCACCAGTGTCCAAACTCTGGAGTTAATGCAAACAAATGAAATTATCCAGAGAAATGTCACAAAATGGCCTCTTTTCCTGACAGCATGGAGCATCCTGGTGTTTTTGGGCCAGAAACACATTTATTTGGAGGGAGAAACTGAAACGGAAACATGTGGAGAGCACTGTCTCATATTTCCCATGATGCTCCGGGGTGGAGCGCAGAGATAACGGGGTTAGCAGAGCCATTGGAGCTAACAGAGCTAACGGGGGTAACAGAACCATTGGAGCTAACAGAGCTAACAGGGTTAACAGAACCATTGGAGCTAACAGAGCTAACGGGGGTAATGGGGTTAGCAGAGCTAACAGAGCTAACGGGGTTAACAGAACCATTGGAGCTAACAAAGGCTAGGGGGGTTAGCAGAACCATTGGAGCTAACAAAGCTAATGGAGCTAACGGAGCTAATGGGGTTAGCAGGGGTTAGCTAAAGGGGCTAACGGAGCTAAGCGGCTTTGCCATAAGAGAAAAATAACGTTTTCTCTTAAGGTATAATGCATGTTTTATTGTTCCCGGCGTCCTGTTTCCAGGTTATTTTCCATTCTTTTATTCATAAAGGTGCTGAAAGTTAATTAGCCTCATGACTGTGGAGTAAATCTTGAGATAAATGGTTTTTTTATCCCAGACCCTCCAGTCCACATGTTTTACTGGACTCGGAAAAGGCTTCTTGGCTCTGTCCAACTTTCTGGAAACAGTAGAAGAAGAAACATCATTTCCGCCATTTATGAGCGATCTTACGTTTCCATCTGTGAGCTGCTTCATTATTCATCACTCTTGCTTCTGTCAGAGGTTTGTTCAGAGGGAGTTTTTGCTTCCCACAGTCTCCTCCTGCAGAGTTTGGATCAGATCAGATCTCTGATTGGCCGGATGCCACATTACAGCCCGCTTTCTTTAGAAATGAGGAAACAACAAACAGTTCTGAGTTGTGAATGCCTGATATATAAACAACACCGACGGCCTTCACTGTTCTCTCTCTTCTGTTTCTGTCAGGAGCTCATTTCTGATGGAAAACCACCAACCGGAGCTGATTAGGTACTAATGGAAAACCCCTTTATAGAGGAAACTTTTCTTTTCAGTTGGCTTTGTATGAATCGGACCAATCTGGAACGTAGAGAACTGCAGTAAAACTAATTGGGCTGTATCTTTTAAGAACCTGGAGATGATTTGTTGTGATTTGGCACTCTGTAAATTAAACTTAATTGAGCATATGTAAACATTCGGTTGACTGGCTAATGAGGATTCAAAACAAGCGGCCTTAAGCTAATGTTTTTCTTATAAAAGTTTTTCTTTTTCTCCCTAACAAAGCTTCATTCAGAGTGTCAGACCTGGT